GTTGGCAACACTGCAACGGAGAGCACGTCAGGGATGACGAGAAAGTGACAGGAGAAAATCCGTTCCGGTCAACCACCCAAACATCAATAACGGGAACCTTATACAGCGCTTCCCTATAAGCGGTTGCCCCATGATCGGAAGGTCAGGGGTTCGAATCCCCTGAACGGCTACCCTGAGGTACCCTTGAGCAAGGTACCATCCCCACACGCTGCTCCCCGGGCGCTGCACTGGTGGCTGCCCACTGCTTCACTGAGTGAATGGGTTAAATGCAGAGAAGAATTTCCCCACGGGGATCAATAAAAAGTGTACATTATTTTTATTATTAGTCCCTCTTTGGGGGGGAAACTCCCACGGGGTTTAAATCTGGGACTCTCCACCATTTGACTCTAGAACTGAAGAAGCTTCTCGGATGAGAGGTGAAACGTCTTCAAGCAACTTAAAGAAGTCTAGGCGCTTTTCTTTCTAAGCTTCTTAGACAATGACAGAAACAAAGCTCAAACTGTGACCGGGACAGGAAGGAAAGTGGTCACTGTCCCACCGGTTCAGAATAAAACCCTGCTGAACTAACAGAGACTACAGTAAACTGAAGCTCAACTTCTGTGGGAATGCTACGTTCTAACTGATGTTACTGTACACTCCTTTTATTCCTACACCGCAACCTTCCACGCCAAGTTTATGCCAACCCAATGTGTAGTTACATTTCTCAGGAGGTGCACATCAGGTTGTGGCTTAAGTTACAATGCATAACTGAAGAATAATTCACCTGTAACGATAAGGTGTTAGAGCATACAGGTGCTTTCATAATAAAGGGTCAGCACATATCAATAAAACAGTAGAACTCTAGATAGTGTCTTCCATCTAACCTGCAGGCTGATTGATAATACTTTATTCATGGAGTCTCCAAAAGTTGATTCTGTTCATCTGGACGTAGCGTTTTGTGGGAGAAACATTTCATCACTCATCCAAGTGACTTCTTCAGTCTCAGCTGACTGCAGGTTTCAATCTTATAAACAGTACGTTTGCATGACTGAAACCAGCCCACTGAGAGAACAATGGGCTGAGTGCTCAGTTCCTTAATCATAATTATGCAAATTCTCATAACCATTGATCAACAACCACTAACCAAAACCCACTGATCAATGGCCATGAGTACCATTTACAGAGAGTTGGGGAATGGCTGCAATCACAGCATTGTAAGATGGCGAAAGATGTAACCTTAGGCCTCCTCCTCGATTCAGAGATGGTCTTTATTCATGGAGCTGGACTGGAGCAGCAGGGATCGAACCAGCAACCTTCCCATGCCCTGCTTTGTTCCTGTCAGTGCCCCCCAGGGTGGCTGTGCCTACAATGTAGCTTGCCATCACCAGTGTGTGAATGTGTGTGTGAATGGGTGGATGACTGGATATGTAAAGCGCTTTGGGGTCCTTAGGGACTAGTAAAGCGCTATATAAATACAGGCCATTTACCATTTTATTTAAGCTACAGCCACCCAATGCTGCAAGCCCCTTTCCCAATAAAAGTGCACCACTCTGACCTATGACCTGTCTGTAGCACAAGTTAAATATAGTTATTTCAATAAAGTTAGCTCGACCCTGTTAGCCGTTAGCCTCTCTGTTTGCCACCGAGTTCGCTCATCGTGTGCGCCACTCCAGCAGCTCGGGAAGATGAGGCCTACCGGCACGGAGACCAGAAGAGTGTCCCGGTAAAATCCGGACTCTGCCCCCGGAACCCCAGGTCTCGGTTACGCCCCGAGGTGGACTCGAACTCGGCATTGATGATAGAGCAGGGTCTGATCAATAACACCCCCCGCCTCCCTGACGTCTGTGCGACGTTCCCTCTCCCCGATGTAAACCGTTAAATGAGCGGTAACTGAAACGATACCGCGCTGTCCGCAGCGACAGGGACCCGAACCATCGCCGGAAACGGTACTCACCATGTTTGCGATTCCGATGGCTCTGATTCACACCGGATTAAAAAATTCTGACCCGCGGAGATCCCGCCAGGCCGCCTTTAACAGGAACTACAGGAAATGACGCACAGCCGACCGGAAACTGTGGCAACGCCGAAAAGATTCCCCCTGTGCGAGGAACAAAAAGTTCCTGCGCGAAGACTGAAATTGTTGATCACGTTAATTAACGTTAACAAGTTCAAATAAAGTTTCACGTTCACCGCTCACGGATCGTTTGCATGTACATGCTTTCTGACGTCATTAAAATAAAGAAATCTTCTGCAGTCAGCGAAGCAGCTTCACTTTGATACTGAATCACCAAACAGCTGGCTGCTGGTCTGAGATCAGCTAAATGATTTTACTGCTGCAAATTTTGGTACCCGTCTGATACCAGGTGAACCCAGGGCCAGCACTGATGTAAGGAGAGCAGTGCGTCCTGATTTATGAGATCTAAGGCACTCAGCTCGGCTGCTGTAGTTTTAAATAAGATAAGATAAGATAAGATAACCTTTATTAGTCCCACACGTGGGAAATTTGTTTTGTCACAGCAGGAAGTGGACAGTGCAAAAGTTATGAGGCAAAAATTAGAATACAATAAGAATAAATACAGTACACAACTGTACAGAATAGAATAAAATAAAATACTATATACAGTAGAATAAAATAAAATAAATATACAATAAGATAAAAATAGAATACAAATACAAATACTATATACAACTGAGTAAAAATACAAATGTGCTAAATGATGTAAATAAATCAGTGCCCATAGACATGTTTTATGTTCTTTTTTTCCATTCAAACCTTTATTTAAACCTTTTTTATTTTTATTTTATTGCTATATCTGGTTTTATTACTATGTGCGTATTAGTATTGTACAGCACTTTGGTCTACCAGGTGTGTTTTTAAAGTGCTATATAAATAAATAAATAAATAACTGATGATTTAAACCTCAGTGCAATACAAAATAGAATTAAACAGTACCATATTAATGGTGTTGTACTTACAAAAAAATTGCATACCATAGACAAACAAATAAAAGAACAATTTCAGAACCTACAATATAAATATGTTAGGGGGAAAGTAACTGATCAAGCCAAAGAATAAAGTGATTGAAAGATCTTGATTTTTTCACAAACACCAATAGTTTTTATAGCTTTTGGGTTAGTGGAGTTCTTAATTGAATTAAGATACTGTTCAAGTTCAAAGGAGATACATAAAAAGAGGGATGTCTTCCTAAACACGTGGACTTGTGAATATGAAATTTAGCCATTAAAATTAACAAGTTAATCATATATCTGTTATCAAAGTTGAATTGTCTTTGGTTTTTGTGTAGACCAAATAAAACATATTTCCAAAACAGTACAAATCCTTTAAATATATTTTCTGATATAAAAACACAAATTCTGCCAAAAATCTTGCACACGGTTACAAAACCAAAAAAGATGTATCGTATATTCCTTGGAAGTTTTACAAAAGCTACAGCTTGTATCAATGTCTAATTTGAATTTGCTTTGAAGACAATCTTTAGAAGGATAAATTCTGTGTATTAATTTATAAGAAATATCTTTAATTTTGTTGGTAATTAAAAACTGATTAGGGAGTCTCCAAACTTTGTTCCACATAATACCATCTGACAGCCAGTTCCAGAAAAAAATGACATATGGTAGCGTGGTTATGCTACTCTGAAATAAAGATCTGATAGATTTATTGTTGTCTTTAGTTTGCTTAGAAAAGCAAATCTTGCCAACAAAAGTTTGTATGGGAGATCTCAACGGCCTGTGGAATGAAGTGATATTAGGTTGATTCTTAAACAGCATACAAACCCCTGATGGTATTGAGCCAAATACTTTTGTATAATCATGACGATTTATAGCTAAATTAAACAAAATTCTTCATAGGAGAAAAGCGTACCATTTGAATCAAATAATTGGTTGACTAAAATAATGTTATTCCTAAACCAACTAAGTTTTTAGAGTGTTGAGAGATTAATCTGTAATCCTCTGTTATAAATGGTAAATGGCCTGTATTTATATAGCGCTTTTCTAGTCCCTAAGGACCCCAAAGCGCTTTACATATCCAGTCATCCACACACTGGTGATGGCAAGCTACAGCCACAGCCGCCCTGGGGCGCACTGACAGAGGCGAGGCTGCCGGACACTGGCGCCACCAGGCCCTCTGACCACCACCAGTAGGTAACAGGTGAAGTGTCTTGCCCAAGGACACAACGACCGAGACTGTCCAAGCTGGGGCTCGAACCGGCAACCTTCCGATTACAAGGCGAACTCCCAACTCTTGAGTCACGATCGCCCCTTAACCCCATTTATCATTATTTTGCTAATATTGTTTATGCTTGAGTGTTTCTTTTCTAAACTGAAGAAATAATGGGAATTACGCTCACCTTCTTCAAGCCGTTTCGATCTTGATCTGATAAAGGCTCCTTTTGCTTTGTCTGAGTATAAACGATCTAATTTATCTTGTAATTTAGCAAGGCTCAATTTATCCTCTTCAGTTAAAGTGTCAGTTTGTTTATTAGATATGTTTTATGTTCAGTGCATACATGAACTTACAGGACAGAAACACAGTATGAGTCCTGTCCGGATAGCATGGATCTCATGCCTCACTGCTCTCCACCACATCAGCTGCCTTAAACATACTGGCCTGGTACTTACTGTAGCGGCTCTTATACTGCCTTTACAGATTAGACAGGCTTCTTCTCTCTGTCTTTAAGTCACTTCTGAAAACCCATCTCGTCACCCTGCCCTTTGACACCTTGTGAAATGTTTTGTTTTGTTTATTTATATTAGTTTTTATTAATTTTAATTTTATGTATTATGTGTGTTTTTTTCTGTTTTGTTTAATTCTATTGTTCTTAACTAATTTACTGTTCAGCATTTTGGTCCTGTGCTGGGTGCTTTATAAATAAAGTTGTATTGTATTGGTCTGTATTTACTTTTGATTGGGCAATCCTGAAGTTTCTGCTCTCTGATTGGTTTATTTTGGTGTTTAATATTTAAAATCACCGGGGTGTCATCCGTCCAATCCACGCTGAGCCTGTGAAGGCTGAAATGTGTGACAGGTAAATGAACCTGCGATCAGATTATCGATCAGTAGATCGATCCTGTTCGTCTCGTCCAGTTTCCCGTCATTCCGCTGCTGAACGGTTTCCATGGTAACCGTGACCGCGCCGCCGGACGCGCGCCGCCGCGATACGGAGGCGAGACGGTGAGTCACCGACAGAAAACAGCTCCGGTAACCGACGAAGCGACAACAGCAACCGACACACCGGGACGGGTTAGCACGTTAGCATGTTAGCATCCCGCTGCCGCGTGAGCCGGAGGCGCGAAACGGCTACGGACTGTCAATGAGGCTGATGACGGCAACTACCGCAGTGACATCACAGCAACAGACAGCAGCAACAGCATCGCCTACTGCAGGGCAGCGGCAACATCGCCCTACAGTCTGACTGCAGAGCAACTACACGAGAGCAACCGGAGACAGCAGCAACAAACTGACGGCAACTGTGCAGAATTAAACACGTCCTGATTTGTTTCTGCAGCAAACAGCAACTGATCCTACGCCAACATGTTGCTTAAACCTTCTGTCTTCAGCAGGGACTGCAGCAACTAAAACCTACAACATCTGCAGCAGCAGCAACTCCGGCAACCTGGAGTTTATCCAGTTGACATGTGAGCATCAACACGTTGCTTCAGCTTGGGAGACAGACAGCAACTTCATGAAGAGCAACCAGTGACAGAGCTACGATTTCACTCACAGCAACGCAGCCTACCACTACAGCAACTGCCAACAGCAGGTGAGCAACATGCGAGTGGGGGGGCGTCTGATAATCAATAATCTGATCAGAAATCAGTGAGCACAGTTGTTCGGGCAGATGTTTGAAAACTATTACAGATCCTGATGACTGATTTTTAAAGCTGCAGCTGGTGCCTACCTGTAGTCATGGTAACAGGTAGCATGTACCTGTAGTAAGTGTGTTTGCAGAGCTCATCCTTAAACATCGATCCATCAGAAGATCAAAGAGAATCAATAAACCTCAGCTTAAACTATAGGTGAGTCACATGGTTAATCTCAGTCAGGCAGGACAGGAATCATCAGGTGGTGACATCATCTGGCCCTCCAGGTGAGGGAAGGATAAAAAAAATAAATAAATAAAACAAAACTTACCTGTCTGTGAGGAGGCGGAGCTTGAGCAGAACACTTCACCTGCTGTGAATACTGCTTTGTTATTGGTACAAACAAACACACCTGAGCAGCGTTCAGCACAGATAGAAACAACAGAAGCTCCGGTCCAGCTTTTATTCTGTTCATACTTTATTTTTTCACTTTGATCGGTAAATAACTAATCAATAACTGATCAATGAGAGTGACAGTCCTCGTGCTCTTATTTTAAAAGTAAACGGTTGTTTCTCTCCAGGAGGACGTCTGCTTCTGACTGGACGGATGGACGTCCTTTCAGACTGTCTCGCTGATCAGATGACCTGGACTCAGGTGTGTTTCTACCTGCAGATGAGGAACGCAGAACTGTAGCTCGGTCATAGTTACAGTACTCGACTTGTTTAGTAATCTCTTTCATTGTTTGTCTCAGTCAGGTAACAGCCTCAGTTAAGCCCCACCCAGCACCCACCTCCCCCTCACGTCAGGTGAAGACAACAGTCAGCGAGATGAGCCTGTTGAAGGAGGTGGAGCCAGGACAGGAAATGGAGGGAAAGGTGAGTCTACCCATCATGCATCCCTGCGGTGTCGCAGAGAGAGAGAAAAGATTTATTTAGTGAAGACATTTCGAATAAAGTTTGGAGAGATCGAACAGAGACCGCGATGTGTTCGGGGAGACTTACCTGTTGCTGTGCTGCATTCAGGTGCAGACCTGGGCTCAGTCTCTGGTGTACACGCTGGAGGAACTCGAGTGTAAAATCTGCTATAATCGCTACGACACGCGCAGCCGGAAGCCCAAACTGCTGGGCTGTCTGCACCGAGTCTGCGCCAAGTGTCTGAAGAAGATGGTCGACATGGGTGAGTTCACCTGGCAGGTAGACACACAGCACAGTCAGCTGCTGGATCACGCAGATGCCAGCATGACCGTTACCTGGTCACATCACCTGTTGTATCATGTGATTCCAGGAGAGTCTTCGCCGTCCATAATCAGCTGCCCATTCTGCCGCCACGAGACGTATGTCCCCGACGAAGAGGTGTGGCCTCATTTCCTCCTCTTCGACGGTCAGAGTCTGACAACCTGAACTCACACTGTCTCCTCCCCCTCTTCCTCAGGTGTGGCTGATGGAGGACGACCGGCACATCCTGGCGGTCCTGTCGTGTCAGGATCGTGCTCGGCGAGGAGGTGGAGCAGGAAGTGGCAGCGGTGGGGAGGTAGTGCTAAGTCCCAGCAGTCTGACAGGTAAAAACCTGAGAGTTAGAATGAGATAGTCAGCCAATCACAGCCAGCCGGTAGATTTATCCAATCAGGAATCTCCGCGATAAAGTGACCTGTTTGAGGTGATTGAGCGGTATTCTTCGCCGTCATTGGTCAGCGGTATCCTTTATTGGACACCTTAGATATTGATTACTGGTTGGTGTATCCATAGTTTTCACATGATGTCAGCGCTCGGGAGACACGCCCACCTGGAGGGTAAAAACAGTACTTTGCTCTCCAGCCTTCCTTAAAAAGGAAAATAACAGTGTCTGGAATTTCTCTTGGTAAAGCTCTGCGTCTGTTCCCAGGGGGCGGAGCTGCAGGCAGCGGCGAGGAAGCATCCCACCGCTCCTCGGACTGTCTCGTCATCACCATCATGGAGCTCCCAGAGGAGTCGCCATCCTCAGATTCACTGAGCATGCTCAATGTAGTGGGTCTGTACCATGCTCCCAGTCTGGACTCGCTGCCCTGCAACCTCCCAGGTCAGAAATGCCGTGCCTGGACATCCCGCAGCTTCCCACGCTGCCTGCTGGGGGCACTCTGCCTGGTAAGTACCAGTTTAACCAGTTTGAACATAACTATCTAAATCAGAACCAGTGTAACTGGTGTGTGCGGCTACTCCCCCTGTGTGTGCAGGTGTACTTTAGCTCGCTGCCATTGGGGATCTACCTGCTGATGATTGGTCAGCTATGGCTGGGCGTGGTCCTCGTCAGTCTCGTCCCGTCCACGCTGCTGCTGCTCGTCCTTTACGGCTTCTGTCAGTGTCTCTGCCACGAGCTAATGGAGGCGCTTGCTGCCCGCACGCACTCGCTACCGTGACAACAAAATGTAGCCATAGAAAAGCCTGTAGACTGAGCCATCACACTCTGACATCACTCTGACCCTGCCCTTTGTGAATACCAGCAAGTCCCCCTCACACATCCCCTTGGTGGAAATACGGCCAATCAGTGTTGAACTACGTGATGACATCATCACATATAGGAAGTGGAGACAGTCCTCTCCAGTCAGAAGACATCTGCTGACTAATCAGAGACATGTTACTGTCCTGGGCATGATCATAAAACTGTTTTACCTGCTGATTACAGAACACACCTGTACCTGTATCACCTGTTTATCCCACAGTCACATGACCTGACAGGCTGTTAGCCTAGCTTAACACTTACACTAATCACAGAGGGAAAGTGCTAGCCTAGCTTAGCATGTGTATTTAGCTTTGAAGCTGTGCTTATTCTAAGCTATGCTAACAGTCCCGATGTCCTGTCTGTAAAATGATTCATGAACCCTGTGATGATGATGAGTGTCACTTCCTGTCCGTGTAGTGGGCGGAGCCTTTGGAGAATCAACTGTTTAGTTTTGTGATGAAATAAATAAACATAAGTGACATGAAGTGTTTGAATCATTTCCTGCTGCGAGTTCCTCTCAGGTGAAAGGTTGTCACATGAGTGACACCTTTGGGACCTGTGGGTGGAGTCCCAGGAGCATTTGGGCATCAGCTTGTCGCTGCGTGTTAATTAAAAACACGCTATCCTCAGAGAGAAGAGCAAGAGTGTTTATAGAAACCTGGCAAGAGCTGCTCTCCACCACAGAGGAAGAAGCTGCAGCAGGTACAACTTCTTTCATACAGGTGTTCTATAAAGGCACATCCACAGGTGGGTCATACAGGTGATTTTACATTTACTTGTCTAAGCATCACCCAGATTTAGATATTAAGTTTTAGATGTTTGAACAGCACCTGTCCTACCTCTCTCCTCCCTCCAGGCGGTCGACATAATGAGTCGTTGGCGTCGTTCAGTGGACGAGCTGGCAGCACGGCGGCGACAGCATGAATGTGAGCGCGCTCAGGATGCACTCAGTCGGGTCACTTCATGTTTCCAGCAGCTGGTTGCGTTGGTCGGTAGCTCAGCCGACGGCAGCTTCCTGCGAGATGAGTTGGATGAGACGAGAGCTGTGGCTCACCGGATCTGCAGTGGTAACACCTGTCTGTGGTTCACCTGTCCTTCTCACCTGTGTGTTTCTCGCTGTCTCACGTGTTCACCTGACTCTCATTGCTCCATCTCCCTTATGTGTCTTCAGGGCTGTCCTGCCGGCTGCTGCGCTCGCTTTCAAACTCTGACTTTGCCCCCTCAGGTGTGCAGGACAGGCAGGTTTTGGAGCGTCTGTGGGTTCTCTTCCTGTCAGCATTGGAGCACTTCCTGTATGACCTGCGTAAGGCCTGTGACCTAATTGGGCAGTTCCCCCTGACTGAGCACAGCAACAGGCGCTCGCTGGTCAACACAGGTCAGCTGATTTTAGTTCTGATGTGAGATTGGCTAACTTTGTGTAAAAGATGTCTGTTGTGGCCGAGTCGTGAACCGGTAAATCACCTGCAAGTGTTTTTGCTTGAATGTCTAAATCGAGGAGTACTTGAGTAGGTTTAAGAACAAGTTTTTATTGCAATTCAAGTTGTTCAGTCCAATGAATAGCTTGAAAAGGTACAAAGGTAAGCGGTGAACTGCCAGAGGTTAAAGGTAAGGTTAGCTAAAACTGAAAAAATAATGCACATTTCAGAATTATACATAAAGGCCTTTTTCAAGGAAACACACAACGTGTTAAAATTTTAAAGCTGTTCTGCAGCAATGGAGGCTGGTCAAGCCTTGAAAGCTGGTGCTACTAATTCCTACAGGTGTTCCCACTTTCCTGGATTACTTCCCCCTCTGCATAAAAGCAGTGTTGGAACACACTGATGTACCCTCGTGACCATCAGCTGAACAGTAGTGTGTTGGTACAAAAACGGGGAGAAAAAGGTGATTAACAATGGAAGAGAGACGGAGCATCATAACACTTATAAATGTTTGTCTTTCCAAACTGTGACAGGAAGAGGTCTGCAGACCCAAAAACACAACTGAACCAGAAGTTTCTGAGAGTTAACAGCTTGATAGGCGGCTCACAGGACAACAGCTTCAAGCACAGAGTAATAGTGGTCGTAGTGAGCAAGTCTCAGTTTTCCCTCACCTCAGTCTCAAACTGTATATTTATTTCTTACTCTTCCTATATTTATTGTTTTTCTTTTGCACTGAATGGAACTGGAGCCTCGTTGTCTCGTCTCTCTATGTACTGTATATCGCAGAGATGACAATGAAGAGAAGACTTCGAGCTGCAGGTTTGACAGGACATCACTAAGATGTCAGAACAAGACAGAGGTTTGGCTGTGCCATGAAACACCGCCATTGTAATACTGCAGACTGGAAGAAGGTTTTATGGACTGATGAGTCATCACGCAGGATCTTTGTACGCTGCCGAGTAGGTAAAGGATGGGTCCACAGTGTGTGGCATCAACTGTCACACATGGAGGAGGACGTGTGATGGTCTGGGGCTGTTTGCTGATCCAGAGTCGGTGACTCGTACAGAGTGAGAGGCTCCCTGAACCAGAACAGCTGCCACAGCATTGTGCAGCACCATGCAGGACCCTCTGGCATGCACCTAGTTGGTCAGGGGTTCATCCTACAGCAAGATAATGACCCATAGCAAAAGTGCCAGAACTACCTCAGGAACAAAGAACAAGATGGTGAGCTTGGAAACATGGAGTGTGCAGCACAGTCTGCAGACTTAAACCCCATCGAGCTGGTTTGAACTGGACAGAAGAGCGAAAGCAAAGCAGCCTACAACGTCCACATTTATGGGAACTTCTGCTACAGATATGGGAGAATATTTGATTTCTATTGTATTCCATTGCCAAAGGAGGCTACTGACGAGTCAAAGTTTACAATACACTTTGGTCTATAAACTGATTCCATTATTTATTCATTTACTTTTTACTCCAATTGCTTATTTGTGCTGCGCTTTCACTTCAGAGTGCAATGAGACATCAAACATTTTTAATGAAAAACTGGAGAAACTTTTAGCTTGTAGTAGAGCTGGGCGATAGAACGATAACGATATGTATCGCGATATAACTTTTTCTCGATAGAAAAATTCAACTATCGCTATAGACCTCGCCGCTCTTGTCCTCTTAAAAAAAAAAAAAGAACAGCCAATCCAAATTACGTAGCGCAGAGCTGAACCAATCACAGCCGCAGCATCACGTCACGTGACTTGTTACATACAGCACAAGTGCCAAGCCGCACATGTGTATTTGTTTGGGAAGCAGCCAGCCACCGTACCGCCCGGGTAATGGAGGAAATGAGTGTGCCGACTAGAAAAATCAACAGAGCGTGACCGAAGGTTACCGAAGAGAAAACAGATGATGGTTCCAATGCCGGAGAGATTGTCGAACGGAAGAGCCAGAGAAGTTCCGTAGTGTGAAGGTATTTCGGCTATTTCAAGTCTGACAAAAAACAGAGTAGCGTGCACTGTAAATTGTGCCGAAAGCAAGTCTGGAAATACAATAAACTGGTGCATGCGCTACGTCCACACGTACCCGGGTATTTTTGAAAACACAGATTTTTCTATGTGTTTGCACCTTTTGTCCAAACGTAAACGGCGTTTTTGGTCACTGAAAGCGAAGATTTTTAAAAACTCAGTTTTTGCATTTACGTGTGGACTAGAAAAACGGAGAAAACGCAGCGTCAAAGGTGTGCGCATTTTTTGACGTCACACTGTGCGCCACGTTATTGTTTCGGTGAAATGAATTTCTACAATACTGTTAATTCTACTCTCTGCAGTGTTTAAATGTTTACATATACACACAGTTACTGTCCCTCCACACATACGACTCGGTTCTGCTTCTATGCCGCAGCTTTGTTTACTTTTTTCCCACCGAGGCTTCTAGACTTCTGATTGGCCAACATTTCTGCACGGTTAGGAATCTAGCTCCACCTGCTGCTTTGGCATGTTCATAGCAGCGTTTTCCTTCATTTCTCCCTTTATGTGTGGACGGGATTATTTTTTAAAACGAAAACGGAAAATCTCCGTTTTCAAAAATACCCGTGTACGTGTGGACGTAGCCTCAGTCTCTGACTGGAAGCGCTAATTCGTCATTCGGCTTTTGTCAGACTAAAGTAACTGTTAAAACTGTTTGAAAAGCTAAGCTATACAACAAGGAGAGATTGAGAATTTCCTTTTAGTTCTCACTTTATTTGATATTGACAAAAGTTAGTCAATTTTGTCTGTTCTTCTGTAAAACAAACTAAGATTTATTTTTAGAATTAATATTTTGTTTCTAAGTGGAATTGACAATTTAGTCTGTTTTGTTTGTTCTATTTTGAAACTTAAACGCTTTAGCGGCTGCCTTTTGTGTAGTTTGCAATATTTGCCTTTATTTACCTGAAAAAGTCTCATGTTCCTTAAGTACATCTACCCTGTTGAACTTATTATGGGAAATAAATATTTAAATCAAAACAAGCTGCTGATTATTTCACATTTTACTTGTGAGCAACGGCACATTTAAATCTTACAAATATAGTTATTTGGCTGATATCGTGATAGATATCGTTATCGCCTGAAATGAAAAAAACATATCGTGATATGAAAAAATCTTATATCGCCCAGCTCTAGCTTGTAGTGTATGTGTAACCTGCGCTTTCTTGTCCAATGTAGGAACGTTACCATGGAGACCTCAGGGTTTTTTTATAGGCTAACGCGTGTCACAGAGGTTATTTTTCTGCTATAACCGAAAGCTTACCTAATGCTGGGCATACACTGCGATTTTTGTCCCATTTTGGCCAGAGTGTCGCCTTAATCGTGTGTCGTGCGTCGTGTAGTATACATAAGGTAACGAGAAGCGATTAACACACAATCATCAATCATATGGTTGCAAGAAAATCAAACCTGTTCGAAATCCTGTCGCCCCTCGTGAGGGCGTCACTGCAGCCTCTGCGCACGCGCGGAGCAACAGTGCAGCGTGTGATCTGGACACAAGCGATGGAGGCACAACTTGTAGAACTTTGGCTCATCTGAGCCTTTTCGATCTATCGCGACCACACCAACCATGAAAAGAGTTGGATGGAGATCGCTGCTCAATCACAGCTGCCTGATCAATGTTTTTCATTAGCAATTTAGCAAAGTTGATGGTGGTGTGTGAGTGAAAGACAGAGAGGGAGATTTTGTGTTATAAGCCGACGCACAGTGACTGGCAGTGTTGAACCATGACAAGCATTAGTTTTGATTGTCCAGGAACAACACGAGCACGGGGACATCAGATTGTGCTCTTATCGATCCGTTACTGACCCGTTATCGACCTCTTACTGATCTACTTTATGTTGCTCCTCCCCTTTTGTGAGTGTGGACGCTTCATCTCTTTGCTCTTAAATGCTTTGCTTCTTTTATTGATTTTTATGCTGATTTTTTTCCCTTTTTTCCGTATGAGCTTACCTGCGATAGCTTCTGGACACTTATAGATCATTAGGACTAAAGTGTTCTTAACAGAAACAGCAACATTTTTATAGTGACCTTATCCTCAGCGCTCCGTGT